GCACGTAGACGAGCTACTAACCGTCAAGCGGCCGAACGATGTCGCCGCTCTAAGGTTGCTGCTCGTGATGAATTAGCAGAACGTCTGGCTGACCTTCGCTTACAAAGGCAGGCATTGAATAAGCGTCTGGTTAAGGCTCGTCAACGTAAACGTGATGCAAGGTAATGCAGGTGTACATGATAAGTTTCTCTGTAATCATCTCATTATCCCAGGTCATACACGCAAAACTGAACTCAGTTCTTTTACTAAGTTAAATTTTTCTTAAATTATGTTGCTCAAGTTTCCAGGAATGTGGTAGAAATACCGAAAATTACATTTCACATTGTCCTTTTAAAGAAACCCCATAATTTATAACAAAGGAAGTGTACCTTAAACATGTTATCTATATGTCCGTTATTATGTAGCTGCTAAGTATATCAGATAAAAACATTAATTGGGCCACAATAGAGTACGTAGCACATTCTGTGTTTATTCCAATCCAATTATATTTTACAGCAATCTTGTGAAAAAAAATGGATTCAGAGTAAAAAGGTAAGCCAGCACAAATCAAGAAACTGCCTTTTAAGTTTCTGAATGAGATCCATACATCACGTAAAACCAGCAGGAAAAATAAAAATATAGTGCTCAAAAGGTTGGGAATTATAAGGAAAAATTAAGATTGTTCATTGCAAGGTGATAGTGAACGTATCAACTGGTCAATTATTTCCATGCACTTATCACCTCAATTAAACCCTGTTCCTAAATTTTAACCCTAAGAATTAGCTATTTAATTAGGTGAAATCTGTTTACACTTTGTGATATCATTTTGCTCTGTTCTAGTTCATACTGATGGATAATAACTGGCTAAAAAATCTCAATTGTTTTAAGCTCGCTCTTTGATTTCCTTTAGCAGTGTTGAAAAGGGGGAAAGCAGGAGGTTCTAATGAATTAATCCCGGAGATCATGAGGTATAGTAGTCCAACTTTAGAAGTTGGCTGTGATATTAGCCAGAGCCTGGGAACTGGACGTAATCCTATCTAAATGGTCTCGATCGCTAATCATTGTCCATTGTATAAGGAAGTATTTAGTAGCCCGAGATCTGACTCCAATAGATCGTAATGATGTTTGTTATCACCTATCCTCGTATATAGTTGACTTAAATCGCGTTAGTTAATAACGGAATTAAATAAGTCAAATAACGAGAATGGAACTTGGGATACATATATTTGTAGAATCGTTGATCAAACAAACGAACGGGGAAACGATGCTGGTAAGCCAACTCCCTTTTAACCAAGTCTTCATCAATATTTATAGGCATAAAAAATAAGTTACACACATGTGATGAACAGTGGGATATGAAGTGTACACACGCCCATGCGCTCATATAAAGACAGTCAAGATTGATAAGCAAATAATTAACAAGGTCAGTCAGTCAGCTGCAACGTAGGACCAGGCACGTATATGCATCGGTCCAAGTTGCCATACCGCATTAGCACAACAAGATGAACACCGGATTCATAGAAGTAGTTAATTCAGTGGTGGTAATATATAGAAGAAAGATTGTGTATAAGGAGATAGTAAAGGAAGAAAGAATTAGTTCGTAGAAAGAGAGATTTGGAGTGATTTTAATCTCTTAGTTTAAAGGGAGACAGAGTGTATACAACGACGCCATTGTGATCGATTCTGAGCCATGTCACCAAGAGTCTCCAACCATTGGTTACGATAGTCACGCGGACCCCAACCAGGCAGTCTGAATCTCCCAACAAGGTCAAAATATGACTCAAGTAGAGTAAATAGATTGAGAGGTCCGAAAGCTAGAATAAGGTATGTGGGCTTAACATAATAACAGATACTACATGTACAAGTCTTCTTGTGATAATCATAGAGGAATCAGTTTGATTAATATAGTGTCTAAAATATTGGCCTTAATAATCTAACGGTTAACTAGGACTCGCCTAGAAAATTAGACTGGCTTCAGAATTGGTCCAGGCTTCATAGGTGGTTTCCGTACGGAAACTGCAACTACTGTTAAAAAGATTAGGTGACACTGCTTAAAATTGTTTACAATACTGCAAGTTCATTCGGGCTTTATCTTACTATACCCGGTTCTTCGTGTCCTATATTTCTTGAGTTCAGTCAGTCAGCTGCAACGTAGGACCAGGCACATATATGCATCAGTCCAAGTTGCCATACCGCATTAACACAACAAGATGAACACCGGATTCATAGAAGTAGTTAATTCAGTGGTGGTAATATACAGAAGAAAGAGTGTGTATAAGGAGATAGTACAGGAAGATAGAATTAGTTCGTAGAAAGAGAGATTTGGAGTGATTTTAATCTCTTAGTTTAAAGGGAGACAGAGTGTATACAACGACGCCATTGTGATCGATTCTGAACCATGTCATCAAGAGTCTCCAACCATTGGTTACGATAGTCACGCCGATCCCAACCAGGCAGTCTGCATCTACCAACATGGCTCAGATTAGAAGTTAGTGACTTCAAGCACTGATGCCACGTTTTGGTTTTGCCGCCCCTAACTTTCTTCCAATCATCCCTAACACCAGTGAACATTGCGCGTCGTGGTAATCGGTGTTCAGGCATACGCAACACGTGGCCCAACCATCTCAGTCGATGAAGATTCATAACCTCATCAACTAATTTACCATCATTCCCTAATACCCTGTGTCTAGCCTCACTATTACTTACCCGGTGATCCCAGCAGATACCAGCAATATTTCTAAGGCATCTGTGGTCAAATACTAGTAACTTATGAGTATCTTCTACTCTTAGAGGCCATGTTTCGCAGCCGCATAGTAGAACGGAACGAACTGCCATGCAGTATACTCGTCCCTTAATTGATAGACTGATATCTCGCCTTCGCCACAGATGACGTAAGTTGGCGAAGGCCAAGCGAGCTTTTCGAATCCGTTCTGAAATTTCGTCAGACACCAACCCATTAGGGCTGATCAGACTTCCAATATAAGTGAAGTTGTCAACGCGTTCGACTACTTTACTCCCTACCCTTAGTTCAGATGTTGACGCAGACCAGTCCTGAAGCAACAACTTGCATTTGGAGGAAGAGAAGCGCATCCCAAACATTCTGGCATTGTTGCTCAGTGCTACCAAAAGACTCTGCATTTCATCAACGTCTTCACCAAACAGGACTATGTCATCTGCGTATTCTAAGTTATACCTTTTTGAATCGTATTTGAAGTTTTTGGCTTTTCTTTGTTCTTTCATTTTCTCGATTCGTTTGTTATTCATTGACTCATGTTAATGCGCTATGGTAATATGAGGTAATGCACGTTTGTGCCAGACTTTGCATTAAATATTACTGACTCTTGATATTCGTAATACTTGGTTAAAACATCACAACCACTTGTAATGAAAGTCGTACTTCCTGCTTTTGTAAATTACTTTTTCTTATCCTCTAAAATATACGAGGTTGATACTGAAACGCAAAGCTGCGGTACGCTTCTTTTCGCACAGTATGTTGAAATGCGTAGGACTTAATTATCGGTCTTTTTAAAAAAAGTAGGGAGCATTAGACTTGGTACGTTGTCATTTTACGTTTAAATTCAAGCTAAATGGTTATATCATAGTTACATAAGTATTCATTACTAATTACATTATTTAAATAACAAGCAACTTAGTTTCCGTCATAGAAAAATATGAAGATGAATCATCTTAGAAATCCTATTGTGACCCCAATTACTTCCCAATGGTTTAAATATATAAGTAAATCATTATGTATGTGTGTTGTTAATGTCGGACAATTTTCGATTTCATTAGGCATGACCTAAAGCAACATATCTTATAAGGCCGATTAATAGTCAAATAATGTATTAATGATGTCAATCCTTCGTATTTGGATGAAGCAGTTTTATAACACCTGAAATAGAAATCACAGTTAAATCTGTCACATGTTGATTCTAATACGGAAGCAGGTTTTTGTTTCACTTCTACTAAACCACTTTATTCTTTTTGTGACTTTGTTGTTTAGTGTTTATAATGCTTAAATGTTCATTCCACTTAGCTTCTCAGAATTTCCTGTTAGACTCGGATATTTTACACACACAAAAATATTTCTATGCACTATGTACCGTTTTATTTCAGTAAAACTTAGTATTTACGCAAGTATAAACTTTTAACTTGAGAACGAAGAGTATATTCATGTACAGTATACCGCATTTCTTAAGGTTAGTATTTTAGAAACAGTTCTCTGTATTAACTTTAAAGACGTTTAGATTTTGCCGAGACTTTTTCCCTGTTAGCACTTTATTTTAAGGATGAACTTACAAAGCCATTTTGTAGTGAATATAGACATTCATTCGATTTTGTTTCCTAATTTTCAGAGATAATCTTACTGAAGAACAAAACCGTCTGTTGCATATGTTGCATGACTCTAATGGTTGTACATTAAAACCTTCGGATTGGCGCATTCATTTAACTACAGAAGATGAAATTGTGGTTGTATCAGTTGGACATTAACTCAATAAACTTGACTTTTCAACTCCCTAAACAGTCTTTCACCTAACTATCGTTATGTTTGCACACTTACTGTAAATACATTTTCCCCAAACTACGCATTTTATTAAAATTTCACTCAAAATCTTGCAAATGCTTGTAGAACTTAGTTCATCTGAAAACTTCTCAGAATTAATTTTTGAAGTGTATGAAATTTCGTAATGTTTTCGACCCACGTAGAACTTACTTTATACTACCTAGTTATTGATTTTATTTCCGCTATGCACATACTCATTTAGTAAGCAATTAGTAACCTATCATGCTATATGGCATCCAAATGATCGTAAACTTTATTCCCACAGTTTAGCATTTCAGAATAATGTTTATTGTAATATCTAGACCGCTCTAACTAACCTTAGTTATCAGCGCCCCGAAAACGTGCTACAAGAGTAATGTTAACTGGAAACTGAGTGTAAATTGTCTTCTGTCCCAACCATATATGAAGTAATCAAAGACTTTTAAATCAAACTATATTATGGAGTTTAAGAACTTACATACTAGTGCTTGTAGGTCCATTTGTATACTGTGATGAGGGAATAGTTCCTCTAGGTACTTGACTGTACAACGGCTGTTCATATTGACCTATCCCATAGTATGCAGTATTGATACGTTTATCTAATTGATATCGAGGAGGATTCATGGGCGAACTATAAAATCTTGGATCTGGTGGCACTGGACTAGGATACAAATATGGGTTTTGTCTCGTATCACCGGAATAAAGTGATTGACCTGCACTTTCAACTACTGCGACATCTTGCGGACTTCCGAGAATACCGCCATTACTCCCGATAACTCCATCATCCGGGGCACCAACAATAGAAGAGTCTGAGTACTGTGGGTTCTGAGCAATTGTTCTAGGCGTGATTTCCATTTCGTCATCAGAAACAGTGTTTGTTGCAGTTGGTTGGATTTGTTGGTCACTAGAATACGCGATAGTTGTGCGACTTTGTACAGGTTGTTGTTCAACTAAATATGATGGTTGTTTGGGATCAGGATTCATGGCTGGTTGCACAAATAGTGGATAGGATGGTACATTAGACTGAAAAGTCGAGTAACGGTTGATGTATTTTGTTTTAGGACCCGGGAGATTCGTTTGCTGATCCTGCCGTGCCATCGCGTATGGTGAATGTTCAGAGACTGGATAGGATACGAGATACGTACTGCCTCTCCATGAATTTGAATTGAATGTACGAGAATTGGATGCCACAGCTGTTTCACTAATCTGTATGGTGGAAATAATCATAACGACAAGCAGGGTTGGTTTTAAACTGATCATTGCTGCGAAGCTAAATGCACTGCCGGTAGTAATTATATTTATAAATGATGTTTGACCATGTTTTAAATGTATTTGAGTTGGGTTCAGCTTGAATACAACCAATCAAATCATAGATATAATTGAGTGAGCGTAACTCATTCATCAATTTTAAGTCTCATAAACAAAAATTACTACACCTTAAGTTAATGTGGTTTCGTATGGGAAAATGAAATTAATAAATCTAATTAATGTACAGAAGCACGATGATTACTTATCAGTTATTGATTAATAATCAGGAGTTTTCTTTATTTTACGCATACTGAATCGTCTAACTTAAGTGAAACTATCATAAGAAAGAAAACGGTGGACAAAGTTTGTTATTTTGTTTCTAAGTTTTAATGATATAAATAGAACATACGAAATGAAAAATAATGAATGAGTAAAATGACCCAATAAATTTAGGGATGAATGTGACAGAGAACTTTTGAAGAGAGCGATCGGTTTCGAAATAATGTGTTCGACGCTTTTACAAGCTTATGAAATAATTAGGATTCAGCTAATGAAGACTAGAAGGTATATATATATATATATATATATATATATATATATATATATATAGTGAGTGGTGAGACAAAACGTTCATATGATGCAACAGTACAACAAAAATAGCAATCACAGTTGTTGATGTAAATTAGCCAAGAGGAGGAATTATGTTTTTTTGAACAAGTGAATATTTATGATGGATATAGAGTGGTAACCAACAACACAAATTGTATAAGACATCACAAACGAGAACTCCGTATGATGCTAGAAAATAATAACTCAAATATAAACATCTTGATAACGCAACAAAAAATACAATAAGAAGTTCAAAATCCACAGTCAATACAAAAACAACGGTTACAGTGACGATTAGTCACAAGCATGCAGAAACGTGAGTCCCTAGAGCGTACATGTTATTACATCAGATATATATTAAGGAGGAAAACCGAAGAACGAAAATACAAACATAATGTTCACTCGCCCTCAATATGAAAGGAGAATATCGTTCATCATTGTTTTCAGCACATGGGTTAAAATGAGATAGAACACAGTTACTAAATGTTGTAGGCCCCGGAATACTAAGTCAACAAAATTACCTGAGAGCAATCAAGTAGGAAAATAAGCAAGAGTCGATTGCTGCAATAATAGTCTTCTTTAGAATGGCAAACCCCAGCGTTTGTCCTTTTTTTCGTATTTGGCAGCGAGAATAGCAGCAGAACGACCAAAACCTTTAGCTTGATCAGCCATCTCTTGCGTTTGTAGGTCTAGTTGCTGTAACCGCTCACCACGTTCGATGGCAGCATTTCTAGCTCGTGCAATTTCAGAAGAGGCAGCACCAGTTTGACCAGATAACTTTTCCATACGAGCATTTGGTAGTAGAGTAGTAGCGCCAGGTGTCCCCTTCCCCGAACTTGCTTCACCAACTAAAGAAAAAACAAACTGGAGAATGAGAATTGCTGTGTATTTGTTACACGATATAACCCACCTAAATCTACTGGTGTTGATTTGTGACTACTGTGTTGAGCATTATAATACCGCACTACAATGACTATCAATGAAAATGCGAACTTTGGTTCGAAAACAATACTCTAAGTAAAATGCAGCTTGACTGAGTGCGGCTGCATGGCTTATGTTTACCATGCTCCAACATATTAAACGAGTCAAAATATGCTTCAATAATTACCTAACAATGATGATCAAGAGAACAGCAAAGGCGATTAGTAATCGTAATTTACAGCCAACAAATCTAGATAATAAATAAATAATATATTTGTAATATCCCAATGAGTAGAAAAATTAGATTTTCTGACGTTTCGTGACTCAGTGTAAGTCACTTCTTCAGAGAATAAATAACCAAATTAAAACTAATTCAAGTTTAAATAGTTCCTTTGTACTATTTTTCTACTCATTGGGATATTACAAATATATTATTTATTTATAACAATCTACCCAATGCTCAATTTATTCGAAATTATCAAATCAAATCTTGATAATGTTTCGTTGCTTATCTTTGTTGTGTGCTCAGTGAACACTGAGTTTGAACATCTTTACTAAGTAACCGTAGCTGCTACCTTGATTTGGTGGTCAGGCTTACCTGTTGCGGTGACTCAACTAAACTATATTGGTTGGAATATATATACTTTTAGGATCTACGATGCTAGGCAGGTCGGTTGGGGAACTTACTTATACCTGTTACCCCTCGTCAAGGATCATAGGCCGCTCACCAGCATCCTCCATCCAACTGTGTTCTGGGCAATCCTTTCTAGTCACTATTCATCCTTTTTTATGTCTGCTTCCAATTCCCGACGTAGTGTGTTCTTCGACCTTCCTCTTTACGATTCCCTTCAAGATTCTGAGTTGGTGCTTGCCTCATAATGCAGTTTGATTTCCACTTCCAGTGTCTTTTCCTAATTTCCTCTTCAGCTGGAACCTAGTTTATTCTCTCCCACAGTAGGCTGTTGTTGATGGTTTTTGGTCGACTGACATTGAGTATCTTGCGTACACGGTAAGACTAAAAGCGGCAACTTAAAGCCAGCGGGCAACGTTGCACTGCTGACTGTAGAGGAGTGTAAGAGTAGTAAGGTGTTTTACTCAGGTAACCAGCATCTTTAGCGATGCTCTCTTCTCATAACGAAGGTAACAGGTTAGAAAATGTCGACCTTAAAAATGCTACACCTTACCCCACGGATTTCCGTCCTAGACAGTAAGGCTTTTTGAAGTGCGAATCTAAATCATCAAAAGCTTCCCATAAAAGGCCGTCCTCAAGTAATTTTACACTCCCAGGTCGCTAAGACCACCAGTAATTCAGCTTTTGGGATCCATCAAGAAGAAAAATTCTTTCCATAGTATGGGCAACCAAGTAGTAACAACCGCCTTCCTATCGCTACAAACAGTCTACCTTGTTGACGATTGAATCCCTCTTTCATCTCTTAATTGTTCTATCCTCACGACTAATCGTTCGCGTGATTATCGCAACCGATGGTTAGAAACTTCAAATGACATGGCTTAAAATCGTTTGTAACGGCGCAGGTGCATCCATTCTTTGTCTTTCCTGAAATCCTGAGATTCTAAATTGCTCATAAATCTTTTTGTCTTATTCCACTAATTTGTATTTTCTTTTCAAGTCGTATTTTCGATGCCTAATCTTTTCTATTACTACTGGGTGTTCGAAATTCTACCAAACATACAGTTGTTGATTATTTCCAACTTGCAGACGTACTGTCAACTTAACTGAAACCATTTTCATTTCGACCATAGCCACTATATCTACTATTCTAATCTGATTTACTCCAGAGTATTTATATATGCAGAAATTAGTTCAAATTGTTATTTCAAGTGTTCAGAAGCTTGATTTTGCACTTTCTATGGCTGGTAAAAGCTGCCACAAAATGAACAATACTGATTTATTTATTTATTTATTTGAACACATAAATATTGGTACAGGGGGGCACCAAATATATATGCGCCACGCAAAACAGTGATAATTAGAAGAGAAGGAGAAAAGAGAAGAAAAAAAAAAGTAATGAACGTGGGGAATTATAAAAAAAAGAAGAGAGAGAGAGAACAATGGTGGGGGAAACGGAAAGGTACAATCAGAACAGATCTTTCAGTTAAGGAAGAATACGACCACCTTTTTATGAAGAAAGTAAAAGGAGGTTACAGCAGGATCGCCACTGGCTTCTATTCTGAGCCATATCTGATAACGTCTCTAGCCACTGCGTTACACCATCTCTCGGACCCCAACCAGGGAGTCGTGAAGGACCAACATAAGCTAGCCCTTTGCAGCTTTCTTTCATACCACGACACCATGTCATATACTGACCACCTCTCCGCTTTTTCCAACCAGTCCCAGAGTCGGCAAATAATGCACGACGTGGAATTCTCTGGGACGACATTCGTAGAACATGTCCAAGCCACCGAAGTCGGTGTTTCAAGATGGTGACACCAATTTCATTATCGTCTCTGTGACCGAACACTCGATGCCGAACCTCTGCATTACTGACATGGTGTTGCCACTGGATGCCAGCAATCCTTCGGAGGCAACGATGATCGAACACAGAGAGTCGTCTAACATCCTCAACTCGGAGAGGCCAGGTTTCGCAAGCATAGAGCAAAACTGCTCTCACCGTCGCGTTGTAGATCCGACCTTTTACAGCCAGACTAACATCACGAAGGCGCCAAAGATGGCCCAGATTGGCATAAGCCGCTCTGGCTTTCACTATACGTGCATTGATCTCATCACTCACGCCACCACCAGCACTTATGCAGCTACCTAGATACACGAACTTCTCGACTACTTCTATCTGCTCACCATCCAGAGTGAGTACAGGATTAGAATCCTGCCAGTCTTGTAGAAGTACTTTGCACTTCGAAGGTGCAAAGCACATACCATACCTACGGACACTGATTGCCAACTGATTAAGTGCGGATTGCATGGCTTGGGCATTCTCGCACAGTAAGACAATATCATCCGCATACTCAAGGTCGAGAAGTCTTTCTCCAGGCAACAGATCCACACCACCATTACTTACATCCGTCAGAGCTGTTTCCAGAATGTCATCGATGGCAAAGTTGAAGAGGAATGGTGAGATTGGGCAACCCTGCCTAACTCCACTGCTTGAATGGAATAGTGGAGAAAGGTGGTTGTATGCCCTCACTCTACCTGAGGTGTTTGTATATAAGGCTTTTAGGATGTTAATAAACTTCTCAGGCACACCCTTCTTCAATAGACAATCCCAGAGAACAGTTCTGTCCAACGAATCGAAAGCAGCCTTGATATCAAGAAACACTACGATTGTTGGCCTTTGATAAGTATGGCGGTGTTCTAACACTTGGCGGAGGGTGAAGATATGATCAATACATCCTCGACCAGAACGAAACCCAGCCTGCTCCTCGCGAGTCAATCCTTCTCGGGTTCTGAACAACCTACGAAGTATGACGGAAGCCAATAGCTTGGACGCAATCGGAAGTAGACTTATCCCCCGATAGTTGTTACAGGAACAACGTGAACCCTTTTTAAAGATAGGGACAACTATCGACTCATTCCATGACGTTGGTACACTCTCTAGTTCCCAGATCTTTGTAAACAACGTCGTCAGTCCTTTAGTCAGAAAGTCACCACCATCTTTAAAAAGAGCCGGGGGTAAGTCGTCTGGGCCCGGTGATTTGTAACGTTTCAAGAGTTGGAGTTCCTTGCGGACTTCCGCCTCATTTGGTGGATCAGTCGTCACCGGCCATGGAGGGCAGGACAGTCTGACCGATGTTGCCGGAGCAGCAGGCCAGTTGAACTGCCCTTCAAAGAATTCTGCCCATCGTCCAAGACGTCGATGGATGTTAGTGATTGGCGTTCCGTCATCCTCGCAGATTGTTTCGCTCACACCAGACTTCTTGCTGCCGGTGGCTCGGATGAGTTGGAAGAGCTTCCGGTAATTACCAGATGCAGCTGCTGCTTCCAACTCACTGGCACGCTCCGACCACCAGGCTTCTCGGTCCTTACGCAAGCTTTGCCCGATTTCATTACGTAACATCCTTCGTCTGTGGTCAAACTCACGGTCACCCGGAGTAGACCGACGGGCTTCAATCAGTTGTAAGGAACCAGAAGAAACCCAGTGCTTGTAAGCGGGACGTTTCGCAATCCCACAGCTGACTTGACCCGCCATTTTCATGGCGTCATGCAATTGCAACCAATGCTCATCTATACTTTTCGGTGGAATAGTGCCTAGCCTAGAAGCTAGCTCGGTTTGGTACTTACTAGCAACAGAAGTTGCAGCCAGCTTGCTAACATCAATCCTGTGGTGGCGGTCACTTCGTTGTCCACTGAAAAGTAAGGTAAGATTGGCGCAGACCAGAGCATGATCAGATTCCAGATAGGTACTCCAAAAGGAGCGGCAGTCTTGTACACAACCGCGCCAGCGGTAGCTGATCGCGATGTGATCAATCTGAGTCCAGGCTTGAGATGCAGAAGGGGGACGCCAGGTGGCACATCGGCGATGACTGTGCCGAAAGTTAGTGCTAGCCAGAAACAGGTTGTGGTCTGTGCATAGTTGCAGTAGACGTTCCCCGTTATCTGTCCTGCGACCAACGAGTCCCCATCGGCCACCTAAACGACTCTCTTCTGTGCCTAGACGCCCGACCTGAGCATTCAAGTCTCCAGCTAGTACTACAATATCTGTCGAACGCACTTTCTGGAGAAGAACAGATAACTGGTGGTAGAACTCATCCTTGATTGCATCCGGGCTGCAATCTGTCGGGGCATAGGCGGAGATGACGAAAAGACATCGTTTCTCACGCCGATTTCTTCTCACTCTGATGGTACTTTCTAATCTAACAGCACATAACCGACTGTTAATGGGGATCCAGTCGACTAGTGCTGCCTCAGCTCTTGCGCTTAGTGCGACACCAACGCCAGCAAGACCAGACGAAGATGCCACAGGGTCCCCGGATAAACGCACGTAAAACAAGCTTTTTGGAGCGACAGATGGAGAGCGAACTTGTAGTACTTCACCAGAGTCTTGAATACGGGTCTCGGATAGACAACACACATCAATATTAAGACTTTCCAAAGACATTGCCAGCCCTATCTGTTGTCCGACCTGCATAAGTGTGCGAACGTTAAAGGCAGCCAGTTTGAATGGTGCGCGTGGTTTCAGAAAGACTGCTTCAGTACTCGTATTCGATGGTAACATACAATTTTCAAACCAGGCAGTGACTCGAGAACGTTTAGATAAAGCTGAATTTTTACCATAGGCGAGCTGCTGTCTGAGTCGAAACGGATACAAAAAGTAGAAATAGGAGATAGTGAGTAAATGACGTAGTAAATAATAATAATAATAATAATAATAATAATAATAATAATAATAATAATAATAATAATAATAGTATCAGTCATTTCAATGTTAGTCAGAGAAGAACGAATATTTTCCGTAAGCGAATATTTCATCATGTTTTGGTGTGTGGGCTGAGATACTGCCCGGGTGCCCAAACCGAAGCAGGTGGTTTTCTTAGGGGGCCACACCCCGAGCCTTTGACCTAAAGGTCTAGTCCACAAGGCAGTGGAGCATCGTGAGGAGATGCAGTCCCATGGAAGCCGGTGACCAAAAGTTGGTTCATACGCCATTTGTTCCTTCAGGATACTGGAGCCCATGTGCACCATAGAATTGGGATCCGGTTATAGCGCCGGACGTTCGCTTTTCGTCCTCTCATTTTCGTAAACAACACCCCCGCCACGAGAAAGCAGTGAGTAGGACTTCCCTGGCAGAGGCTGTATACGCGTGGCCGTGTGAGAGTATTTCGAGAGGGAGGGCGAACCCTCCCCGCTCTCGGCCATACCAGGGCATTCTTTTATTAGGCTTGCGCGCGACCCTTTTTAGTTAAATGACACATGATAAATGTCACTTTAAGTGTACAAATAACAATTTTACTGAGCCAAAAAATACAACAATCGAAGCAAGTCTGAGTTGATTCATTAACTCTTTCAACTATTCAATCTGATACTCTTACCACGATCGAAATGGTTAACTCTTATTTATAAAATCGAATTAAAGATGATAAAATTGGCACACGTAAACATTTTATTACTACTGCTTAAACGTTGACGGAAGTGTTCCAAGAATGAGAAACTTGTGACTGAAATGTCAGACAAAATTTAAAATAACCCATTTAATTTTAAGTGATAGGCGAAACCCTTGTTTGATGCAAAAACTTGGGGAATGATAGTGTTACAACGGCGCGATCAATTGATAAAATTATTGGAGTGACTAAACTGATAAGCTGTTCATGAAATTGATTTTTGAACCCTAACCGTTCGTTAAAAGCATTCAGTATATATATATATATATAAGATGGTAACTCAAATTTGCTTCATCTCAATAAAGAGATCATCTTCAATTTACAACCTGAATAAGTTGAATACACTTTGAGGCTACTATAATCATTTATTTGAATTAATTTATGACTAGGTTTTGCTAACTTCACTCTATGTCCAGTGTAACCCGAAACTTTCACTTAGTTTCACTGAACGAATCTGGCCTATAACCTATTGTATGAGTTCGTAAATATGATACGAAACAAAATAATCACTATAAATCTTAGTGACAAAAGACATTGAGATTGTCGATAAAGTCCCACTATGCCAAAAGATGTACTACTCATAAGCTGAAAGTAGAATAACTCATTGTAAACAAAAGATAGTTGACTGATTATGGAAAATAATCTGGAATAAGAGCAGGCTAAATAATTATCAATGGTTTACGAAAAGAATAGTATGAACGCTATATGAAAGAAAATTATGAAAACTAAACAAAAGAACTGTGACAGGGAGTAGTAATATGGTCAAACTTACACAATTCATCTCGATCTAATGAAGATACCAAAGTTCCACTTAACAAATTTTTAAAAAAGTTTTTCTTAGGAGGTTCTGGCATATTACTTGGTAGAAATATCTCACCTTGCATATCACGTAAATTCGCACTGTAAGTCAAAAAATAGAGCAATATATGAAAAATATCAGTGTATCTGTTAGCTAAGAAAATGTATTAAGAGATAAGAAAAATATTTACGATAAACTTTTCTAAGGAAACATTTTACGTTTATATTTGTAAAAGAATGTTTTTTAGTATTTAGAATTATGTAACCTATAGAGTGAAACTAGTACATTAATTTAATGTTTCACTCATCGCTCGGGATTATAAACCAAGGGTTTGAATGAAGCCATGAATATATTCGGCAATCAATGTTGACAAAGGGAATATTTTGCTATTTACTTAAAACTTAAAGTCCCCTCTATTGTGAAGGTTTAAAAAACTCAACCGTATTGTTAAATATTGAGTAATAGTCAGTTGGAAAAATCCATTGAAATTAACAATTCATAGCCAAAAAGAATCCTACCTCTTGTTACCTGGTTTGCTCAGTTATTTAATAATAACAATATATTTTGTGTTAAAAAAACCTTTTTGTAATCATGATAATTAATAATATCAGTAGTCATAACATTCAGCTTTTAAAATATGTGTGGGTGTAAGGAGTGCGTAGCCAATTAAAATTAAACTGCACTGACTACTTTTTGAAAATGAACAATACGATCTGACTTGACGAGTCTACTGCATTAGTAACACTCAACCAATGTATTTATTCTAGGGTAAATGGTTTCCAACCTAAATGAGAATGTCAAAAGTGATAGTGTCTCTCAACCAATAAGTGGATAAGGAAGTTTCGCATTACTGAGCCAAAAAACGTGATTTCAGACCAGTAGTTGACATTAAACTCCACCATTCTGAATGAATTGACGAATGATGAGCTGCATCCCACAAAATCAGTTTTTTACGGGTTAGAAATCTAAAGTAAAAATTTAGCTAATGGGGCTCAGCGACAGAAAACTAGACAAAAATCATAGCCTAAATACACATAATGATATCAAAAATGAATAGTAAGGACCGTTAGCTTTGCAGGTATATTGGGTTACAGAATATTATTACCTCATTATAAATCACCATAAACTGTTGGGCTGGTTAGCTTTCACGGAGTTTCCACTTATATATATATATATATATATATATATATATATATATATCCATTTGCTGTGAAAATAAGCACAAGTGAAGAGACTAAAACATACATAAATTCACATGTCATAAAACATGACAAAATATTCATAATGATGAGAAACATTAATGAATACAAAAAAATAGGACTTACCAAACATCTGATGCCCAGGTGATTTTAGCTAATTCTGAGGGCGACACCAAATACACAGATTGACCATACTGACCAAATGCAAACGAACGACTTACACATTCTGTATACGGTAAATAATCTACATCCATTAATAAACGTAAACTTGGTAATGAGAAGGCAACAAAATGTCCATTTGCAAGATAACACGCGAGGAAACTAGCTGTTGATGTTCCGCTATTATGCGATGGTCTCAAACGTTGTACGGAAGCACGTACCACTTGACTTGTTTCAGTTATTTTTACCTGTATAAAGAAAAATTAAAATAGTGTCCAAATGAAATGAAGTTAGTGGATCTAGTTTAAAACTAAACATGATGGAATTCTGTCTACAACAATTAAGAGTAGTTTTACCTTATAAAGACAATTTTGTGAAGGAAGTGCAACTACTCGAGCTTGCTTTTCAGAACAAAGGACAAGCAGCTGTCGGTCACACTCGATAAAACCTTTGGATGTTGTAGGAGAATCAAGTCCAGCTGTAACACTTGACTGAAATGTACTGCCACCACCGCTCATAGTATTGGATAGTATAGTACCTGAAAAAAAGTAAAAATCAAACCAAAAATGATGACTTGCGCAATTTCAGTACTACGCAACAACACGCTAAACATACTTCACATAGACACATAAAATAAGGTGAACTTTCTTTAAAGTACCCTTTTAGTATCCTGAGTATATCGTTATAGTGATTGACACTTTTGTCTCAATCTGTAGACAAATCTCGATTTTCATTGAAAAAATAAGTGGTAATTAGTTCAGTTTAGGGTGAAATTTCAACATGAACCACGAAAAACCATAGAAGCTATTGAAAAGCCGTTTCGTCCTAGTTTGTAACGCCTCAGGTTCTATTAGGTTTACATGGTATAGAATCCAAAATCTTTATGCCTCATTATTTTATTTTATTTATTTTAACACATAGGTAATGGTACAAGGAGGCACCAAATACATATGCGCCACACGAATCTCAATTGATTTGTGTGAGGGCTGTGATACTGCTCGGGTGCCCAAACCGAAGCAGGTGGTTTTCCTAGGGGGCCACAACCCGAGCCTTCGACCTGAACGTCTGATCCACAAGGCAGTGGAGCATCTTAAGGAGATGCAGTCACATGGTAGCCGTTGACCAACGATTGGTTCATACGCCATTTGTTCCTTCAGGATAATGGAGCCCATGTGCACCATTGGTTTGGGATACCGTTAAAGCGCCGGACATTCCCTTTTCGTCCTCTCATTTTCGTAAACAACACCCCCGCCACGTGAAGGCAGTGAGTAGGACTTCCCTGGCAGGGGCTATGTACGCGTGGCCATGTGAGAGCATTTCGAGAGGGAGAGCGGACTCGCCCCACTCTCGGCCGTACCAGGGCATTTGGGGGCCTCATGACAAACACAATGACATAGACAAACTAGGTTGGACAATTTATTCATATTTTGTTCAAAGTTCGGATAGTTATCAATTACCTGACAAAGTCAGTGAATGTTAGCTAATTATGAAATATGGAATTCATAGTGAAAAAACAACAGAAAACTAGTAATTTTAATATAAATTAAGATCAACTTTTCTAAACTGATAACATATACCTCCTTCACGACTAAATATAGGCCGAAAATACCCAATTAACACTATACTTGACTTCAAGAGATGTTGCGAGAAGTAAAAAACAGATTCTTTAGTGACTGCGATTTGCATAATAATAAAATAGTAGCTATACTAAACAGTCAGTTGATTGGAGCTTAGAATATCCATTACCCAAACCAATATTAATTATGAAAACAATAGAATCTTTGATGGGTAAACTATCGGTGTACATTTGTGGCTAAGTGTGGTGAGACAGGTTTGGAAAATATACTTAGTAACCTTACTACTTATTCAACTGATGTGGATTTGTAGTTTAAAAGATTCATCTTGAAATTAATCAATAGGCGGTTAGAAGTTAAAATCTTAATTCGATATATTAAGACAAATTAGATAAATGTCCAAATTTATCTTATGATGAAAAATGGTTGTCGAGAGACCGATCAACTGTTCTAGAAAAAATTCACATCGTCAGTCAATTATTCCTAATAGGAATAAAACATAGACGTTGAAAAAGAATGCTATCCCACGATTGAGAGTGATATGAGAAATACGTCCGAAACAAATATAAAATATGCAACAATTAATGTTATAAGATATAGAAAAGACGATCTTTGAGTGCTTACTAGAGTGACCCGATGTTGATGTTGAAGATGTATGTGTGGTGACCGTATTTTGTCGAATAACTGACTCTTTCAATGCTCGAACACTGCCACCACCACCACCACAAGACTTGAAACCAGTATCAGTTGAACTATATGCGTCAGCATTAGTATACATAGAAGTTCCTTCAGAACATATGGATGAACAAGATATAAGAGATGCTTGTTTCGAAAGTTCAGAGGCAGCACCACCTTTGAAAATAAATGAATCATCCCAACGCTCAGAAGGACTCGGTAAAATATCACCGGTATTATCCAACAGGCTAATGTGAATAATATCTCCACGTAAACGATACAAAGAAGCTAAAATAAAAAGTATAAATAGATAATTAGAAATTTCTAGAGTATTTATTGCGATAGGTGTTAAAAATCCGCAATATTTCTAAACGAGTGTGGTAACAGGCCTGTGACAACACTGATTAAACAACTTCGTAGTTTAGACATTACAGATATAAAATATAAGCAAGTAATATTACAAGATGACTTATAGTAATTTCGACCTCTATGTGTTTGCTTAAAAGAAGCACATATATTGCACATCATTGGCAAAGGGTAGACAGAAATGAAAAGACTGGAGAAATGTATATTACTGGAGCCTTCGAGGAATTATTCCATTTAGAATGACTAATGAACACACAGTGTCAAATTCAGATGGTTAGATTTTTAACGTAGGCTTACTAGTTGATAAAATTGTAGCGGATTTTCAATGACCATATATTTCGATGTTAGTTAACGTAGGATCACAGTTAAAATCCTATTGAGAAACGTATGTAATTATAATTTTTTAAATTGAGTTTCCAAGTAAACGAAAATGTCTTAAATGGATCCAGTAAACTTGATAAAAACATTCAACATCATTTCATTATAGTCCGTTTTATGCCTTATTCGATTTCTTGAACCGAGTTTTTCCGTTAAAAAATCAAAATAATACATCAATGTGATGAGTGGTAAGTCATTACAAACAGTTACTTAAAAAAAGTATATTCCAACTAATAACACTTTTATCAAAATTTGATGATCATATTTTCAAGTCTGTAAAATGTTTATCTAGTTGATGTATCAGTGAGAACTACGAATTTCAGACACATGAAAGTTCATCTTTTCTAAATGAAAAATAGAAACCTCACTAAGACTTGTTTGACGGAATGTAAAATAGTCAGTCAGTCAGCTGCAACGTAGGACCAGGCACATATATGCATCAGTCCAAGTTGCCATACCGCATTAACACAACAAGATGAACACCGGATTCATAGAAGTAGTTAATTCAGTGGTGGTAATATACAGAAGAAAGAGTGTGTATAAGGAGATAGTACAGGAAGATAGAATTAGTTCGTAGAAAGAGAGATTTGGAGTGATTTTAATCTCTTAGTTTAAAGGGAGACAGAGTGTATACAACGACGCCATTGTGATCGATTCTGAACCATGTCATCAAGAGTCTCCAACCATTGGTTACGATAGTCACGCCGATCCCAACCAGGCAGTCTGCATCTACCAACATGGCTCAGATTAGAAGTTAGTGACTTCAAGCACTGATGCCACGTTTTGGTTTTGCCGCCCCTAACTTTCTTCCAATCATCCCTAACACCAGTGAACATTGCGCGTCGTGGTAATCGGTGTTCAGGCATACGCAACACGTGGCCCAACCATCTCAGTCGATGAAGATTCATAACCTCATCAACTAATTTACCATCATTCCCTAATACCCTGTGTCTAGCCTCACTATTACTTACCCGGTGATCCCAGCAGATACCAGCAATATTTCTAAGGCATCTGTGGTCAAATACTAGTAACTTATGAGTATCTTCTACTCTTAGAGGCCATGTTTCGCAGCCGCATAGTAGAACGGAACGAACTGCCATGCAGTATACTCGTCCCTTAATTGATAGACTGATATCTCGCCTTCGCCACAGATGACGTAAGTTGGCGAAGGCCAAGCGAGCTTTTCGAATCCGTTCTGAAATTTCGTCAGACACCAACCCATTAGGGCTGATCAGACTTCCAATATAAGTGAAGTTGTCAACGCGTTCGACTACTTTACTCCCTACCCTTAGTTCAGATGTTGACGCAGACCAGTCCTGAAGCAACAACTTGCATTTGGAGGAAGAGAAGCGCATCCCAAACATTCTGGCATTGTTGCTCAGTGCTACCAAAAGACTCTGCATTTCATCAACGTCTTCACCAAAAAGGACTATGTCATCTGCGTATTCTAAGTCAATAAGTGGACCTCCTGGTAGGAGATCAATACCTGAGAATTCAGTCGATGAGAGCGTTATTTCCATCAGTAGATCTATGATGAAGTTAAACAAAAATGGAGAAAGTGGACAGCCTTGGCGGACGCCACTTGAGGTTGAGAAAGCAGATGACAGTTCGCCATAAGCTCTGACTCGACTAGTAGTGTTCGAGTAAAGAGCCTTCATAAGGTTTATGTACTTCTGAGGTACGCCTTTCAATGACAGACACTGCCACAGAACCTCTCGGTCAACAGAGTCAAATGCTGCTTATAAATCAAGGAAGACCACTATTGTCGGACGCCGATAAGTATGCCTGTGTTCTAGAACCTGACGAATGGTGAATATGTGGTCGATGCAGCCACGACCAGGTCTGAAGCCAGCCTAATTTTCTCGTGTTTGCATTTCACGAGTTCAACTAACGAATACATAATTAGCTACCTGATCACAGAATTTCACTTCACCTGAAGCAGACGACCCAGTTAGATTGATAGGACCGCGACCTGATGGAGTTAGTTAATAAGCAAAAATAAATACTTATAGTATTAGTAGAACTGATAAAAATCATGTTAAGTGTTTGTTTGATAATATTGATTACACTTTTCATTTATGATAATAAGCAGAAACATATAACTAGAATTATTGACGAATGATTTAAGTACCTAAATAAATCTCAATTAACTAAAACAATGATTATTTGGTGAGATAGAGAAGGTCACACGAGGTCTTAGTGCATGAAGTAGCTCGTGGTTTTCAAAAAAACTAATAACACAGACTGGTCGTTTACAAAATTAAAACAAAAGTATTCATAATTAATGATATATTCAGTCAGTCGGACACCAATACGAATGCCTGTGTTCTAGAACCTGATGAGTGGTGAATATGTGGTCGATGCAGCCACGACCAGGTCTGAAGCCAGCCTAATTTTCTCGTGTTTGCATTTCACGAGTCTTTGTTAGGCTACCGATAATTATTAAGGATAGTATTTTAGATACTATATTAGTCAAACTAATACCTCTATGGTTGTCACAGGATGATTTTGATCTCTTCTTATATATATTGGGATAATCAGTTATTGTGACCAGTCAGATGGGATTACGTCCAACTCCCAGATTTTAGCTAAAATATAAGTCAACCTAATCGCTAAAATTCGACCACCATACTGAAAGACCTCTGGAGCCAATCCATCTGGACCAGCTGCCCTTCCTCCTTTCAGATTAGCTATAGCCTTTTGAACTTCAGCTAGAGTTGGAGGACCTACTTTAATGTTCCATTCATACTGTCTGGGAATAGAGGGTAGTTGTAGAGTAGCTGAAGGCCAACTGAACTGCTCCTTAAAATGTTCCGCCCATCGTTCTAAACGTCTGGACTGAGAGCAGATGAGTGTCGTCATTTTCCGAAATAGTCTGACTTACACTTGATTTATTAATTCCAGTTTCTTTTATTAGTCTGTAGAGTTGTCTTGTGTTCCCTATAGCCGCCGCCTTTTCCATCTCTTTTGCTTTCGTTGCCCACCACTGCTCACGATCGTTCCTTAGACTTTTGCTTAATCTAGATCTGATTTCTTTACGCTCTTCGTCGTGTTCAGAACCTGATGGGATGAGTTTACGAGAATCTATCAGTGCAATAGACCTTGAAGAAATCCATTGGTTCTTTGTAAACCTGTGGTTTAAATCACTAGTAGATGTCACTGCTGTTTCCACAGCTGCTTGTATGTCTTTCCAATCAACATCTGGGTCAGCCTTGTTTTCAGAACTACCTAAGTGTGACCTCAGTTGTTCCTGGAACCTACGTTTGGTTTTCTTGTTACTCAGTTCAGTTCTAATGGGTCTTTTTTGTGTGGCTTTTTTGCGTCCAGTGAGGCGCAAGCAGATGCGTGCTCGTATTAGGAGATGGTCGGAGTCCAAGCAGGTACTCCAGAATGAGCGACAATCGTCTATCGACGCTCTCCAACGATGACTGATGGCAATATGGTCTATTTGAGTCCATCGTTGGTTTGGTGCAGGTGGTCGCCATGTTAGACGATGTCTCTCCTTATGCTTAAAATTTGTGCTTGCTAAAAATAAACGATTGTCTGAACAAAGTTGCAACAGACGATCACCATTATCTGTTCTCTGTGCTGGAATACTAAAATACCCACCTAAATGTCTTTCTGTTTCGTTTAAGCCACCTACCTGGGCATTAAAGTCACCTGCTACGAGTACTATGTCTGAACGTTTAGCTTTCTGAAGAAGTTCAGACAGCTTTCTGTAAAATTCATCTTTCACTTCATCCGAACTGCAGTCAGTGGGAGTGTAGGCAGCAACGACGTGTGTCCCTATCCTTTCGAGTTCTTACGGAGCCGTTTAGCCGAACAGCGCATAGACGACTATTAACAGGGATCCACTCTAATAGAGCTTGTTCCGCCCTCATGTTTAGTGCTATGCCTACACCTGACAGTCTACGAGAACTAGCCATCGGGTCGCCAGATACACGGACGGTTTATCTTGTCGGCACTCCGTTTTGCCGAGGTGAGGTCAAGTGAATGACCACACTAGGATCCTGTATGCGTGTTTCGGAGACACAGCATACGTCAATCGTACGAGATTCTAAGGTTTCAGCCAAGGAAGCCTGCTGACCGATTCGACATAGTGTGCGTACGTTGAAGGCTCCAATGTGTAGTTTGGAGCGAGGTTTCAGTAGACCTGGGACAGTGTTTTGCGCACTAGAATCGTTGGCTGTGGTGACACTTGAGGAGGAAGCCGAAAGAGGGAGTTTAGATTTGAAAGTCAATGTAAGAGGAATAATAGGAATTGAAGAGGTAGGTTGATTATGAATACAGTGGTCTTGAGTGCTGTTAGAGGTATGAGGGCGGTTATCACTTCCCGGTTGCCCACACCGTGGAAGGGTTCTGCAGGAGGTACCTGAAAAGGAAAATGGATTAGAGGTGGTTATAGTGACCTGAGAGCGTGACCGCAGTGCCCAAGGTAAGACTGATTGAGGTCGGTCACACACGACCATTTTATGAGTAATTTTTATGTTAGCTCCGTACTTGTTGAGACCTTACCGCCGGAGACGGATATCCGTGAGATAAGGCGAGGTGTACATTTTTAGGGTCGACCTTTTCTAACCCCTCCCCTCCTTTTGGGAAGGCAGCATCGCTGTTATGCTGGTTGTCTGAAGGAAACACCTTACTGCTGTCACACCTCTGTACAGTCAGCAGTACGACTTCGCCTTCGGACCTTGGTTTTGTTGCTTTTAGTCTTACCGCTCTTCAACCGACCTGTCTGGCATGGTAGGACCTTGAGGAACGGTTGTTCCAGCCAGTATAGCTCAGTTGCTTCATCACGATAGGCAAGCCCGACCACCACGTCAAGGTAGCAACAACGGTCTGGATGTAAAATAGAGGTATATTTGATTCACATTTTGATAAAATTAGTCTATCAAGGTACTGAAATAATTCTTTAACAAGATAAATTTAATCGATAAATTCAGTCCTCCGGTTTTAGCTGAGAAAAGGAAAGAATTATTCAGAACCGATGACAAATATTGCTGATTGGTTTTTGGATCGGATTAAGATTACGTATTTTCCATCGAAAACGGTGGTGTCACACTTAAAATATTCTTAATTATCACATACAGCAGTTGGTTACAAATATTCATGTTAAATATTTGTATTTTATGGAGAGTAAAAAACACTCAAGTATCCAGATGGGAATATTTAGACTATATATTCGTGGATGCGCACAGCTGAGTCTCATACTAGGACGAAACGGCCGTCCAATGCCTCCAGGTTTTCGATGGTCGTCTAGCTTTACTCAGGTCATGAATTAAACTATTAAATAAAATATAACAAAGTTTATTTAAGAGTTGCTAGATTGAACCACAATTTAGTTAATCTGCCCTATGTCTCAATAAAATACTGTTACAAGCCTATGGACTAATTTGAATTTAAGCATTGGATGAATGGACAAGCAACTGAAAACACAGTAAGTAATTGAAATATTAAAAAAGTATTTAATACCCTCTTTTTAGTTTCGGATAAACAGAAAGTAGAGAGACATTCCAAAATACTATATAAATTTAGTGATTAAACAAGAGCAGTCAATATATACTTGGGTATTCTATAATAAAATTATTTCATCATAAGAAAAAAGACGGATGTCTTGATAAAAATAAGTTAGATAGCTAGTTTTGCTAGCTTGCCAATACAAATGAACTTTCTATATTTCGATTCAGAAAGATTTCAAGCTCAATAATATATGTGTATACATAACATTGCTTTTGTGTGTGCAGGTTGAAGACGAAAATCAATATTAACATTGAGCATAAATGCAAGATAGATTGTACTAATCAAGTAAAATTGACAGTTATTTAAAAAGTAATCAACTTGCATACAGTGATATAGGATAGACATACAAACATGCACACTAATTTGACATGCAGACATATAAGGAATGAACATGCCATTTAAGCTGGTACATAGTTATTTGAAAGAAAATCAATAAAACAGTTCAGGATTCAGATAATTAGTTAAGTGAGATAAATATCCACTATTCCTTGTTGTTTATTCACTCACCATACGTTTCTACTTTATCTAGTGACGTAAACAAAGTAGCCTTTTTCACACAAGTGGACAGAGCAAGAAAGTAGCTCGGATAATGTGAAAGATCTCATTATCAATGCATTGATACATACATCTACTTTAAATTTAAATGCGAAGTTTATTACAGGATGTTTTAATTACCCTGCAATAAACTGGAATACCGGTAGTTGTCAGTCATGTAATGAATTCTCAGCGACAATTAACATACACTGCTGATCACAGTGGGTTTGTATCTCAACAATGAATGGTAATATACTTGATCTGATATTTTGTGGAGATATCATCCTACTGTCTATACAAGTATACAACGAATTTGAAAGCAGTAACAATAACATAGTAGTTGGTGCTCTCCTTATTTGTCTCTTTTATAACAAACCCATTCATATAGAGACTATAGGCATGCTGACTGGGACTGCAATCCCTGGCAAGATTCTCAAACTGGGATACCTTATACTTAAGCAATAATCTTGTAGATGCCATTGACATATTCTCTCTGATCACTATCTATTGTTTATATTCCTGCACACCTCTTGAAACGTACAGGTTTAGTAAACCTAATGAATTATTTATACCAGCTAAATATCGTAACATATTATGACGCCTACAGAAATGTTCTTTAAAGTCAAACGATTTCATGTCAGTTGCACAAAATAACTATAATTTCTAACCAAATCAAAGAAAAACATTAATGAAGAGTTGTTAGCATTTTATAATGGCTCGAAAGTACAAAATTCAGTTTTTTTTTTCAACAAACACTCCTATCCTTTCTCTGAAAATGTAATAGACGTTCTTACACCTGTTAGTATATCTTATTCCAGAAGTGAGATTATAGGACCTTTAAATGTTTAGTTGTTTTTATTACTGAATCTACTAAGTAAACATACCTATCTGCTGTTACTTTACACTTACAACGTAAATGCAACTAACTAATTTGAATAGTATCTAACACGAACAGTATATCATAAAATAACCTGGTACATGTGTTATGGTAGACCTAACTGACCTATCGTAGTAATTATTGCTTTCGTTGTTCAGTACTCTCTGCTTTCATTTTAATTTTTCTAGTTATAGATGGTTATTATCAATTTATTATGGTGCAAGGAATAACCTTAAATACATCAGCAAAACGTCCACTTTCAAAGAATTAACAGTTCTCGGCTGATGCTTTTCATTATTGGAATACATGTGAAAAATGTACTATCTAAACAATTTTTGAACGAGAAAACTCGGAACAATCTAATTTTCCATATATTCTCTATACTTAATAGTAGTATCCAAATCAAACTGATCATGCATGTATAAACTGTTATGAATTCTGAAATTATTATTTTTAAAATATATTATATTATTATTATAGTACTATTAATGAATAAGGATAGCTATTCTACGATTTACAGCATCATAACACTTCGTTTTCACATTACATCACAGAGATTAATCAGTATTTTCAGAATAAAAACACCAAATATCATTTAGCTATGATGAAATCGTTTGAAACCTAACAAGAAAATTCACATAGATCATTTATCCAGTGTTCAGAAAACTGATATCAGGAATTATTAATTAAAATAAGTGGTAGGGAATAGTTGTCACTGAACTGAAACATAGAAAAAAAATTTGTTCGAGGCTTCTTCTACAACCAAATTCCTGAGAAATATTAGTTTGCATGTAAAAGAATAATGTCTTTAAACGACAGAAAGCATAATCATGCTAAAAAGATAAGGCTTTATCAGCACAGTGGGCCAATGACATATCGGTGTGAATTTGTCTACATTAAAATATGCTTACTAATCACTTTTGCTTCAGCTCACCTAATTTAACAACGTGCAGATTTCTCATTCTCATCAGCTATCTTGATGTTTGCGATAAGAACTGATATGCTGTTAGATTTAATGACTCCCCTAACTAATTATGCAGATTTCTAGTCGTCCAATAGTATTACATTATTTATTACATTGTTCTTTTTTTTGATATTCAATCGAAATCATCAATGGAGTTCGTAACGTGTTCAATAAACCAAGTTGACTCAAGACATTTTGGTTGGAATTGATTACTAGCTGACTGATCTACGTTTCTATTTTGTCGGTATTCATCAGAAAAGTGTACCTGTAAGATACGAAGGAAGTGATTTTTTCCTACATATATAGGAAGGTATCATTCTTGGAGCTCAAGTCAAAGTTAATTACCACTAAAAACTCATGCATTAATATGAATAATGAGAAATTAGAATATAAGGTAGCGTTATTTATCCAAATCACAAACGTAAACAAATATCAATGCAGAAAATGTATTGTTAATAGAAAAAGGAATAGGAATTACCAATACAATATGAGTGATTGATTGGGACATTATTCAATACTCGATACTTTAGATTCAAAGCAAGGACACATCCACGAGATGTCCCGATCCAGAGATTTGGGACAAAATGTAAGTCTATATATAGGATACAGAATAATATATGAGGAAAGGTAAGATATTACAGAAAATTACTATTCTATTCACACAAACTTTATGAATAAAACATACCTTGTTTAGGAGATATCCATTCAGTGAACAAAATTGTTTTAATTGTCTCACAGTTTAGATTATCTAATGAGCTAGAACTTGCGGTTAAACTTCCCGGATGTGAAAACTGTGAAAGGTCGGAGCACTTTTCTGTGAATTTTACGCACATGAAAACAAACGAGAAAGGAATTAAGAAAAAAGATGTAAGATTTCCATTTCGTCCAGATATTGATATATAACATGCACCTTATTAACAAAACATGATAGCAGCATTAAGGAATATCACAAAAAACGAAGCATATTCTTGCAAACACACCAGTTAGCAAAGAAAACAATGATACAAATATGAATATACATTGTTTTAGACGCTCATATAGAATATAAGTAGTATGGACGTATATCACGTCAAAAGTAGGAAAATAATTTTTAAAATTAGTGGAAAGATGACCATAAGAATAACTTTCAGCACGCCGGACGATGAACTATCACTCTATTATTCTGAAAAAAGAACAATACACATGCCTACGAAGCCAGAAAAATGTTCGATAATAAATGTTAGCCACGTGTATATGTATATATACGGAATAAATATAACTGCTGCTACATACAACACATCTGTTTATGGAAATAAAATGTCTACGGTTACATAAAATGATTAAACATAAGCTAATATTACTATATGAATAAAGATTTCTGCGTAGAATATTAGATAGTTAAAAATAAAGTAGTAAAAGTGTTATATAATGCGTAAAAAATTGGACACGAACAGGATGTTAAATGACAAAGTATGAGTAACTGCTGAAAAGAGAACACCTGTTATAATGGTTGATCAGAAAAAACTATCCAAATACAAATAAGATAAATAGGCGTACAGTCATTTTACCTGCTGGATTGGAATAGAAACTCAAAGAAGTAAGAGAAAGGACTACATTATCAGGAATATCTAAAAGTTTCTACCATAGACTAATTGTTAGCCAGAGAATATGAACCTTCAGATTTGGAATATTTCCAAAGTTATTTGTATACGATAAACATTATGCTTAAAAGGCTAGATGTTTGCTGGATATAGATTGGATTAAAGCACATTCTGTAAAGGATTTTGCTGGGGTACGCTGATTCTTATCCGGTCACTGTTAGTGGACACTTGGAGAAGGCTCTAGAATCTTCCTATGTGAGCACAATAAATATACTAACGTTCCTCTTATTGTGATTCCTACTGCCATTCAAGCTTTTTATTTGGAATATAATTACGTTCCTGTTCAACCGTGTTCTGATTTAGAGACTTTCCGAGTGAAGTAGTGCCCAAGAATAATAAGCAATAAGAGCAGCTAGGTCGTAATAAGAGAAAATATTCCCGTCGCTAAGATAACTAGAAACGATAACAATACTGAAATTAGTGATACGGTTAATGAGTGTTATTATTTTATAAAGCAGTTAGTACACAGATGAATAAAAACTTAAAAACGTCTACATTTTCTTTTTAGACTTCTAATTATTCATCGATTTAAATAATACCTGGTTGACGTAATATGACTGAAGAGTTTCCTGAATAGAACACCAAAAAGCATGAGAAATCTTTAAAGTATAGCAGTGAATGAACATGGAAATTTTATCCAGTCGACTTTAAAAATGAATACTTATATCTCGTTCTACATAAATTGACTAGTATTTAAAATGTTATTAATAAGATTTGCACAGTAGATTTATTTTAATCATGAAGACAACATCAGTAAAATCGAATGATACCTAATCATATGAAGTCGAACACAGCTTAATGAAGAATTGCAGTGTAATGTTAATCTAACCCTAGCTTTTATTAGTTAAAACTTCAGCTCATCGACTCGAGAAAAATCGTTTGTACTTAATGCAAAAATAACTTCGGCTATTCAAAAAGGAAAACGAATAATATTATAAACCAGTCCAAATAATATTATTGTATGCTTCAATGAAAATAACGAATTTTCGCCCATCCACGAGTAAAATAGCACAATTATATTGTAACCTTGATAAAGCTGATCATGCATTTTAAAATACCGAAAATTATAAAGTGAAAAACTTCTAAATATTTGTTTACCCAATCTTAATGGATTTAAAATTTTAGCACGTGTAAACAGCAAATAAAGAGATGATAAAAGAACTGACATACATATTCACATAAAAATGTAGTTAAGAAAATGCATTTGAATTATTAGGTCATTCATTGAGTACGCTAAGAAGTTCCCCACCAAAAATCTCAATATAAGAGACACGAATCGACTGGAGAAACTTTAAATCTTATATATCACGAGAATACTTGTAATTTAACAACAACATACACACTAGCATACACACGTAAACCCACACAGAGAATACAGTAAAATCAAACAACCTGAAGAAGTGTTTTGTGCATTAGACGTTTGTCCTTGTTGACGAGATGGTTGATTTGTTCGACAGGCCAAAACCACTATTGTAAATGGATGTATATACAACAGATAATTCAGTTAGGTTGCTTATAATTATACTACATGTAAAAGGTTCCTCTGTTAGAAATAGTCTTTGTACGGGAAACGATAACGGTATGACTGTAAAATAAATTTTTCATGCATTTTCTCTCTACTTGTGATCAAGACATTGAATGACATTTGACACGATATTTACTCCAATGCATACTTATTAAACAGAGAATCTATTTGAGGATATTTCAAAGGATTGGTAAAATTACAAACTAGAAGGGAATTGAACAGACAGATCTGTTGAGGAGGAATCCTGTTTAGGTTTTTCATATGTATATTAAAACAAACTACTGATTAAACTGAACGTAGCACAGTGGAGTGACTAAGTCCACAGACTAATCAACAAAAGATAAGGAATACGAGAAGAAACCAGACCAAATAATTATACACCAATACACTTCCATCTTTCGGTACCGACTTTTGTATAGTAAATCGAACAAAAAGGTCAAGTTTAAGCAATGAATTCGTCTGAAAAATTGTACTTATATTTCATATGTGTACACTGTACTAGATAACAGAGCGAATTCGAGTAAGTTATGCATCACTAATGAGTAATCCGTATTAATTTATCAGATCTTCGGCTATGAAACAATGTTTACAATTTTATTGGCAATTTAACAACAAAGGTACATATATATATATGTGACAGACTAGTCTCTTAATCGTTACGATTGATGAAACGATCCAAGTTAAATGAGCGCGACTTAAGAGAGCACAGGGACAATAATGTATTTATAGAGGTAAAGAATAAAACAACAGATAATACAGAAACGTTATTTATCATAATACATTTTTATTAATCAGCCAACTGACCTTGGGACTTGGCACGTTTCAATTCACTTTTAACAGTTGTAGCTCTTGATAATACATAGCGTGTTGTATAACCGGTACTAGATGACTCACTCGATTGTACAGCATCTGAATTTGAGTGGACGTTTTTCAAAGCTGTCTGATTGTTTATAATGCATGTATTAGCTAACGAAGTTGAGCCAGCTGAACTATTATTCTAATTCATAATATATTATTATGTATGCGAGAAAAGGAATATAAGTGAACCATTAACACATATTATGGGAAAAGTGAAAAGTGTAAGTCTTAGTAATTAACCAGTGGTAATAGCAGTTACTAATGTAAATCAAATTAATACACAGAGATTAGCCATGTTTACTAAACCTATACAAATGAGGATATTTTAAGTAGAGAACCAGTGAGAATACTGAAACACACATAGAAAATCTAATATTACCACAAAAAGGAGTAAAATATAAACAACAACAGTTTTAATATGAGATATAGTATACATAAATTCAAGCAATATATTTAAAACTCACTCACAAACAGCTACTAAGGGACTAGTAGTTTTCAGCTGACTGAAGTTTTTAACCTCAGGCAACATATAAGATTATCATGATGGTGATGATGTGCGAGTCAGTGTTGAAGAGAAATCTTTCTAAATTTATATGATCCGTTCAGGTTATCATTATTATCAACTTTAAGTTCATTAATTCTGACTTTCAGTAGTGAGTTAATAACTTTAACATCTGTATAATAATACTTTGTAATTATTCGATGACGTTTATCAATAGAACTATTTGCTTTTGATAAAAACATTTTTGGGTACTTTGGAAAATGTCTATTCTTGATTGACGTTTCATGTGAGTATCAGTAAAATCATTACGATGATTAATTGAGGAGAATGCCCCTGAAACTAGATATAACACTGAATCTTCCATAGGACTGTTGCTAAAAGACTGATCAAGTATCGAAGGAGATACATTTCCAGAGAATATGATTGGTCTTGAATGGAAGCTCTACGAGATGATTGAGCAATAACAACATTGAAAGAATACTAGAAATTTAACGACATACACGACAATAACATAAGAAAACAAATACAGGACAACATATGTATTCAAGGTAGACGGCACTCAATTAACAACTACTGATAAACATTTTACATAATAGTAGTAAAAATGAAATTAGGAGGGAACATGGTAAACACGTAAACAATAAACACACACTCAGATACATCTATGTAAACATGTAATATAAGATTGAAATCAATGAATATAATTGACTCATTTATAAAGCAAGGAACTAAATTCATTGAAACGGTATGTTTTTAATGTAGATCTTTTTAATTGAGTACGCTGAACAATATAAAGTGAGTGATGTGAAATTTTTTTGTTGAAATGTTAGTCACTCAAAGTTTATAACGCCAAACACAGTAAAAATAAAAAAGGAAGGAGCCCTTAATGACTCTTTTGATCTGACTGTATCACCGATATGTTGTAAGGTAAAACTTCAGTAGACAAAGACAGATGAGGGTATAGAAAGTCTGAGCCAGAATGATAAATACTCAACGTCACATGAGTTAATCATTTGATTTTTGTTGATAGAATGTTCCACAGATGCGTCAAGGATCATCACATGTGTAAATTGGGTGATACAGTAAATTGTGTTAACTTTATCTTGTAATATTCAATTTAAAATAAGTGGTTATGATACAACTTTAGAAAGTAAAGAATGATCTGAATTGTGTCTATCAATGAGTTCAGAAACATTTGGATACAAGGAACCTCCTCTACGAATAGTCACATATTAACTTCAAAGTTCTAAAGTGTTTCCTCGAGAATGAATGGTGTCAACATGTCATAGTCAACTGACTACAGTTTATACATAAACCATATTTTTTTTATTAAAATGAATGACGGATAGAAAGGCTTGTAATGTATAAATTTATACTAACGAAGCCTTTAGTAGAGTGATTACATTATAGCGGTAAAATGACACAGAATTTGCAAAAATTCAAACGAACTACGGATCATAAGTTATCTGAGATTTTCTGTATGGTTGTCTCATTCGAACACTAACTAAATTAACGTTATAGTACAATGGATATTGGCAACTGACAGATTTGTAAGCGAACGTTTTTAGTTTGAGGAAACTGTCAGCCTCTTTAGCAACTTATTGATAATTATTTCAGATTAACTACCGACACTTATGGAATTAACATTTAAATCTGAATATCTCACGGTATGTAAGAAACTATCATGTTCCTTCGAATCCAGGCTGACTGCTACATAACAAAACTAATAATGCACTAACAAACACTAAAAATGGATTTCGGAGATTGTTCGATATCAATACAATCACTTAACAAATCCTGTTAGCTAATAGAAAACTAGCATCTCAACAATGGGTTTACTGACACATTTGCTAAATTTCACTTTTCCGCCAAAAATCTAGGTACTTGAATAAGGTAAATAGATCAACATTCAAAAACGCTTTCATTTGGTTTTCAGTTATTTCTTTATTAGAATCTTTATTAAAAAAATTATAGTCATGATTTTCATTAACTATGCTAATAAAAAATGGAAAACTGATCAAATAAAACCTTTATTCTAAAATGAATCATAAGTAGAAAAAAATACTGTGCACATCTTAAAATTCAGAATATGCATTCAATATTTATGTTTTTACGTGAATATTTAAACTAATCAACCTTATATAAATGAATTGAGTTGATTTAGAATTGAATCTCCACATGCGACTAGCATGAACGAAAAGAAGTTAATGTTTTCGATCACTGTTTTATCAGAGCTAAATGTCATAGAAAAAAGCCTGCTTGAAATGAAAACGAAAATAATTCATCTGTATACAACACGTACAGAAAAAATTTCACCTAAATCGAAAATGATCGCTTTGGTTTTCATCATTTCATTACATATATGTTTTTTTTTTTTTAAAAATGGTTAAAAACAAAAATCATAAGGTAATGGGAGTTCAACTAACGAATACATAATTAGCTACCTGATCACAGAATTTCACTTCACCTGAAGCAGACGACCCAGTTAGATTGATAGGACCGCGACCTGATGGAGTTAGTTAATAAGCAAAAATAAATACTTATAGTATTAGTAGAACTGATAAAAATCATGTTAAGTGTTTGTTTGATAATATTGATTACACTTTTCATTTATGATAATAAGCAGAAACATATAACTAGAATTATTGACGAATGATTTAAGTACCTAAATAAATCTCAATTAACTAAAACAATGATTATTTGGTGAGATAGAGAAGGTCACACGAGGTCTTAGTGCATGAAGTAGCTCGTGGTTTTCAAAAAAACTAATAACACAGACTGGTCGTTTACAAAATTAAAACAAAAGTATTCATAATTAATGATATATTCAGTCAGTCGGACACCAATACGAATGCCTGTGTTCTAGAACCTGATGAGTGGTGAATATGTGGTCGATGCAGCCACGACCAGGTCTGAAGCCAGCCTAATTTTCTCGTGTTTGCATTTCACGAGTCTTTGTTAGGCTACCGATAATTATTAAGGATAGTATTTTAGATACTATATTAGTCAAACTAATACCTCTATGGTTGTCACAGGATGATTTTGATCTCTTCTTATATATATTGGGATAATCAGTTATTGTGACCAGTCAGATGGGATTACGTCCAACTCCCAGATTTTAGCTAAAATATAAGTCAACCTAATCGCTAAAATTCGACCACCATACTGAAAGACCTCTGGAGCCAATCCATCTGGACCAGCTGCCCTTCCTCCTTTCAGATTAGCTATAGCCTTTTGAACTTCAGCTAGAGTTGGAGGACCTACTTTAATGTTCCATTCATACTGTCTGGGAATAGAGGGTAGTTGTAGAGTAGCTGAAGGCCAACTGAACTGCTCCTTAAAATGTTCCGCCCATCGTTCTAAACGTCTGGACTGAGAGCAGATGAGTGTCGTCATTTTCCGAAATAGTCTGACTTACACTTGATTTATTAATTCCAGTTTCTTTTATTAGTCTGTAGAGTTGTCTTGTGTTCCCTATAGCCGCCGCCTTTTCCATCTCTTTTGCTTTCGTTGCCCACCACTAGCCAAAAATATTTCCCTGAGGAATATTATCATATTTGACGGTTAACTTCATTTATCTAGAAATAAATAGTTAGTAATCTAGTACTTATGAGAATGATTGAAGAGAATGAAACTACAAAAGAATAGTTGTGTTCTTATTTGGTGAACCTTTATGTTCAGAATAATGAAGTTTTAATGAAATCGTTAAGATTGAAGAATAAAAAGACTGAATGTATCGCACCGCCACATAAGTTTAATACTTTTTATAAAAAATGAAATCAATAAATAAATGTATAGGTACAATATTCCGCTATCAAAATGCAAAAAAATACTTGCTACCACAGAAACATAAAAAAGTTGTTATCTCGAGCACAGACTACTTAAAATTAACTAATAACGTCTAACTGCTTAGACAGAAAAGGTTAGTTAAATATGTGTACTACTTGTTCAAGAGTAGTCAGTAATAATGCACGTTTATTGAAAAGAATACTATTAAAAAAAAACAAAAATCAGATAAGACGAAAAGCAAATTCAGACAATTAAAAAAATAAAAAGGGAACTCCCTCTAGAAATAAACACTGATAAAAGTGGAGACAGAAATTTTTTATTTATTTTGTCCATGCTAGTGATAATTACTAGTTTGACTTAAAAGGTCTACCAAAAGAGATAAAGGGAAATGGTTGGAGAAGAAAGCATTGTAGCATCAATATTCATCCTCTAACAACAAGGTTTGACTGTGATTACACCGGTCAAAAGTATCGATGAGATTAAGAAGTAGTTAGTATTAAGTAGACAAAATGGGGTTTTATAAATTTAATAAAAGTGAGATATAGATAAATTAGATTGTCATGCGTGTTGTTAAATAATTAAAATAGCAACTATGAATAATTACATTATCCAAAAGTATAATGATGGAGTACCAAAACCGATTCTTTACAATCAACAATTCACGTTCATAACCTAACTACCTTCGTTCAATTTCATTATTACTAATCATCGATAAAAGTATGAATCCAAGGAAACCAAGACTATGGACTAAACATCTATCCAGTTGCCTTTTGATATCAAATGGTGATTCAAATGATGTTGCTTCATGAGAACAAGCTGTAAATTAAACAATAATTTCGACAAATTCCTATCATAAAAAAACAGATATTTAGAAAATAATAGATAGTACAGTTAGAAATAAAAAATCTCACTTAATAAGTCAGAAGACGAAATAGACAGCAAGCTAATCTTGTGAACATAATCCACAACAGCAATCCCGAATTCACTTCCAATAGCCATTCTGAAAACAAGTAATAGTTCCGCTGTTAGAAGGATAACTAAAACGATTGTAAGTAAACTGAAATAACCTTTTGTATATGATGACTAAAAAATGATGTAAAAAAATGAAATGAGCATTTAAAATGTACCTCAATAGCTTAGGATTTATAATAAGCCTAAATGAACTGTCATTATGAACATAAGCAGTCTGTCAGATGTGATTCGGAAGGCTTATGTTCTAGCCCGACGAGTTACAGTACTATAAACATTTGACGAGACACATGATAAATTGAATGAGGATAAACTTTTCCAATCATGAACGAATATTATTTTCTCAGTGAATGATTGTGAGCTGGATTTCAAAGATTTAAACACATTAGAGGCTAGAAAAAAGATAATGATCCAACCTTTCTCAAAATAATCATGAATAGTTTGATTAACAGAATGAAACTGGTGTGTATTCTTAAGTAACTTGACTAAAGATTTGAAACACATAACTCAGTAAGTCTAGATGATCAGGGTCATACGATTCAGCAGACTTAATTAGACATTTCATTTTTGCGTACATTCGGGACGCAGTTAGTGACCAGGTACCATGATTAGGTTGTACCATTAGAGCTACGAAAGGTAATTTCGTCTCAACAATTGAAATAGGATGAGAAGTAGAGATTTTCTTACAAAGAGATGGTGAAATGATCGAAAAAATAGACATATTTCACCTAGAAATAATTTGTGTTCGATGATCTAGTTAAAAAGTAAACAAAGAGCTATAATTAAGAAGTTTGAAACTTACAAACTAAAAGCTGAACTCATACTAATAGCTGTAATGGATGGCGGAGGGATGAGACAGGAAGCTGTAGGATCGGTACTTGACTTTAGATTTGATTCAAAGCTTAGTCCAAGTATGCCTACACGACAAACAAGAAGTGGTTGATAGCCTGGAGGCCAATAATGGCTACCTTGACGTACTGGAACGAATACACGTAAATCCTATTCAAGGAAAAAAGAATGTAGAATACTCTTTTAATACTAAACATGATAAAAGAATATACTTTGTGGAAATCACTAGTTTCACAATAAAGAAATGTTATTTAATCTCACACCAAGCAAGCAATAATTTGACCCTAAGGAAAATATAGCAATTGTTCAGTAGTTCACGTTTGCCGGCTCTGTTTCAAATGATACAAAACAACAATTCCACGTTGATAATCTACACGCAAATATAAGATTGAGAAAGCAGAACTTCAGGAATAGTTATATGTTCCGAACATAAGTCAAAAATCAAAATGAAGCAACCTTATTTGTATAGCAATACCAAGTCAAATTAAGAAAATAAAATGGTTAGATTGAAAATGATAATAGCCAATCAATCCGATAACACCAAAGGTCATCGCAGAAATATGAATTAGTAAAATGTGACCGAAGAGGTCTTTTAAAGAAATAAAAATAAGAAAACTAGGTAATCTTAGCTTTCTAAAAAGAATATTAAACGAAGAATTTTATATAAATATAACGGAAGTGAAAAGGACAAATAAAATCAATAAAAATCAATATATGAGCATGAGGATAAAAAGAATGGAAGCTATATGAATAATATAATGTGACTTGTATAACAAATCAGATTGATTTTATGGGTCATCGAGTTAACAATCGAACGAATGTCCTAAATGCTGCTGCTCAGAGTTTAGTTATGACAAAGTCTAGTCAACAACTTGATCATTTCCAAGAGTTCGTGTTAGTAGGGCTTGAGAGTTCCTCAGAAAACTCTTCAGAAGTTGAGAAAAGGCTGAAAATACTTGTCCTGTCAATCGAAATAGGCTTCCCATAGAAAAACGACGGATTATGTGCTATATCCTGAGCGGATAAATACCGACTTTGTTACTAACTGTAGCATGTTCCCAGAGGCTCCCAGAATATCAGGTTCATATCTAAACCTATTAGTGTGCTGAAGTAAATTCCAGAGAAATGCTTCTTTTCATACTAAGAGTAATTTGTTTCTTTGTTTGGAGCTCAGCTCACGTGTGAGAGATGTCTGGGGAAGTAGGAAGCGCTTATATGTCAATGTCAAGAGTTGAGATATGAGATATATCAGGTTGTTAAAAAGTAACGATGAACGGCTTAGTTGTTGAATAATCAGTTATCTTCTCCGTTAAATTTCGACTAACAGGAATGAGTAAATCTAACCAGAATGCTAGTAATATCATTCATTTTTTTCGATATAGCCAATAATGAGTTGAACTGAAAACTTGAATAAAAACTGGTTATATTAGTTGTTAGACTTTAGGACTACTTATGCAGAAGTTGAAATAACAAATACTTGATAAAGGAGAAAAATTACACTAGTTACAGTAAGACAATAGAACAAAACCGATAACATTAAGACCAACAGAACGTAGGACATAATTTATTGTGATATAAATATACAGAAAACATGAAATAAAAGCAATTTACGTATCATCATTATTGTCCCTAAATATGTCTTGTTAAATGCTTGCATGAAAGCATACGCATAAAGATATGAGACAACAGGTATTCATAAACATTGATCACAGATGTCAAGAATATATAACCGCTAAACAAACAATAAAAACCACAAAAAGAATACTGATAATAATTTCTGATAATCATTCAGAAAAAAATTTTATTTCGGTCACAGCTTATTCATTTTTTTTACTTTTGTTCTTTATACTCATATTGATAACTTGGAAATCACTCTGTTTAATCAGTACTCACATGGAACCCAGTGAGCAGCTGCTATGTCCATTTAGCCTAGAAAGAAAATTTCCACTAAAAAAACATTGTCTTAACCAATTTATCAACTGAATTCTCAATCACATGTATTCATACATTTAAATGGTGCGCATCTTTCAATTTGCAAAAAGGATATCGACAAAAAAATACGAATATGTACAAACACTTTCCAAGTGCATTGAATGTCATAAAACAAGTACATTTACCATTCATCTGTGGAAAACAAGAAACAGGATTACTTCACAGAATCACAAATGTGCTGATGGAAAACGAAATAAAAGCTATCTAATGGAATACAACACAACTATTACTAAGTAAGCTTTTAACAGTTCACGAATAACTTATCAGACTTCAAAAGGAAAATACTTTGGATTAGCCACATAATTATTGATCTTTTCATCAGAAAAATAACATCAGATATTTCCGAAGGTGTAAAATTTGAAATAAATGGAAATCAAATAATCAGAAAGAAAGTTAGTAGATCTAGTATATGATACGGGAAACTCGGTTACAACTCTATATACACATCACTAAACAGTTAGACAAATTAGCGAAATGAAAAGAACTAACAAAACAACGCTTGAAGAAAAATTAAGTAGGTCAATTTAGTCACGCAATGAATGTATGCAAGAAGATACTGTAAAGGCTGTAGGACATTTTAAGTCGTAAATATTTTTCACAATGTATTCAAATCAGTGTAAAGCAAGGTAATCAATTTGCACAAAAATGAAAGAAACCTACATAGAGTAATAAAAGGTTAAAAACAAAGTATACAAGTTTTTATCAAGAGAAGATTGAGGAACAATTTTAAATAGTAGAAAATTGAAACCTATAAAATAGTTATCCATTACACAGCGTTTGGTTCAAAATGGTTGTTTAGTTGATACAAAGTTAGTGTCTTAAAACCGAAGTTCTTCATTTAATACAAATCGCAGTTTGCAACAATCTGGGAATTCGAAAAACTTAAGGTGAATGGATAGGGAGATGATATCAGAATAACCAAAATGTGTACGTTGAATTCAGACGAATATCTGGCTTAAAGTCCGTATTCTATTGTTAAAGACTGAGCAACATACGTCAAAATCAATTATGGTGGAACCAGCTGAGATGGGTTTCATTACCAAGAATTTGACTTGATATTTTTAAATGAATTGAGCATTAGGTAGATAATATATTTATAATATATTTATATACAAAGGTTCCTTTGTACTATTTAATTATTTTTATTTGGTTATTTATTCTCTGAAGAAGTGACTTACACTAAGTCACGAAACGTCAGAAAATTGAATACTTCTACTCATTGAGATATCACAAATATATTATTTTTATTTAAACCTGCGATAGTTTGCCACTTCCTCTAAAAATTTTCAGTTTAGTTTCATCGCATTTTCGTCGTTATTCAATTTCATTTGTTTCATGTGAACTCTGATTCTCATGTATAGGCTTCCTACCTCAGTTGGTATTATTTCCCCCCTTATATGTATATTCATTTAGTCAGTTTCCTTTCTCATTGAGTAAATGTACGTTACAGAAAATTAGGGTGACATACACTATTGTCAGAACGAAGGTTGACTGTGACTCAATGAATTATCTAATGAAATGTAAATTTGTCTCAATTCGCTTATGATAAATATAGTATCTGACATGAGCCCCTTTTTTTCTCACAATTATCTAACACAAATCCCATTTTTAATAAGTACTCTTCCGGAGATGAACGTGATATGGTATGAAACATGAGTAAACTAAACACAACTGACAATCATTGTTTAAGTAACTATGTATCTGCAATAAAAATGTTAAAACTTAACAAAATGTTCAATTTCCTCCTTCCATAGTGAAGTAACGAATAAATCCAAAATAGATTGGTGACATAAAGTGCATTCATCAAAAAAAATTATAATCCTTGCAAATGATATTTTTATACAGAACTCTTCTTCGATAATCTACTCCATAGAACGGAATTTAATCCGTTGGATGATTAAGGTGAAATGTTGGTTATTGGAAGTTTTAATTTTACTGTTGGCATGACTGAAATACTTTAAAAAAAACCAAATGCCTTTACATTATTTAAAAACCCACCCTTTCTGTCGGAGATGCAGATTGATAAGAGCTAACACTTCCACTGGATACATGAGGTAATGACTGTTGGACAGTATCCTTAGTCACGTTACCAGATAAATTTTCAGCAGTATTCAAATGATCATCAGAGAAAGTATCACCAGTTGAATAGGCGAAACCAATATCATCTAATCCATCATAAGCCATATTGATATCCATAACCTGACATAAATAAAACAGATGAAAATGCGTATGAAAAACAAGAAAATGAACTTACGAGGTGTTCAGCTCTGTGTGACGAAGAGCTTAAAATTCAAATAGTAGAAAATAGATTGTAAAATAAAATGGTACAATATATTCACTGAACGGAGAGTTGAAATCATATTTTTATTATCGGAATGCTATAAAATGTAAACAAAAAAGCAAAATACATTTCACTGAACACGATGTCATCTATTGAAGCTTTTTACAAACCTATTTATTATCAATTGATACATGTTAGTGTAAAGAAAAGTGAAGCATCACTAAAAAAATGGCCAGGAGTTTCCAAGTATGAAACAAAGATTACGCGATTGTTAGTGAAATGATGAAGTGTGTGAAGGGTAGTTATTTACTTGATAAAATCAAAGAAACGGAAGAGTGGGCAGGCAACAATAAATATATAAAAAAAATCACAACGAAATAGGGATCATGAAGAATTGTTGATTGGGCAAGTTGCCTTCGAACAGATGATTAATTCAGAAAGGAGCTAATAATGTTGAGACTTGTGTAAAATGGTGAAAACAAATTGTCCTACTTCCTATTAGTACATTCATTAAATCAACTGAAATCGAAAATTTGCTGGAGAAAATCAAGTGACTTTACAAAAACACGACAAATTAATAATACACCACTTAAACGACACTTCTTTGCATATATATATATATATATATATATATATATATATATATATATATATATATATATATATGCAAAGAACGAATAAATGTATAGATATATCATCCATTAGTACATGTAGAAACTAATTAGGATTTTCATTTGTTATGCCTTAAGAGAAAATAAAATTATTTGGCTACAGGGATATGAGCCGATAGGAAACCTAATGAAGAAACATGTATATTCCAAAATTTATCGAAAATAGCTATCATTGATGTAGTTCATGTGATTCTTTTCCTCGGGACGACAACTACTATCATTATTCTTTCGTGTACGCCGAACAAATGAAACGATCAAATAAGTGCACACTAATACATAGATTGAAAACAAACGGATATTTTTGAGATGCACTGGTATGTTTTAAATGTTTTCAGAGAAGATTCTATGTCTTTATTTATTTATTTTAACACATAGGTATTGGTACAAGGAGGCACCAAATACATATGCGCCACACGAATCTCAATTGATTTGTGTGAGGGCTGTGTTACTGCTCGGGTGCCCAAACCGAAGCAGGTGGTTTTCTTAGGGGGCCAAACTCCAAGCCTTCGACCTAAAGGTCTGACCCACAAGGCAGTGGAGCATCGTGAGGAGATGCAGTCCCATGGTAGCCGGTGACCAACGATTGGTTCATACGCCATTTGTTCCTTCAGGATACTGGAGCCCATGTGCACCATTGATTTGGGATACCGTTAAAGCGCCGGAAATTCGCTTTTCGTCCTCTCATTTTCGTAAACAACACCCCCGCCACGTGAAGGCAGTGAGTAGGACTTCCCTGGCAGGGGCTATATACACATGGCCATGTGAGAGCATTTCGAGAGGGAGAGCGGACTTTCCCCACTCTCGGCAGTACTAGGGCATGTCTTAGTGTTCGGATTACAAGCCAACTTCGATACACGATATTCATAACACTGAATACGATTGTATAGTAATATGAACTGTGGTGCATAACTGTGTTGACATCTGTAATAATAATAAAGCAGTATCACTCTATACCAGCTTTTCGTGAAATAGGGAGGTTTCCAAGGAATAATTAATTGAATACTCTTCATAAATGTAAAGCTAGAGAAGTAGCTATGAACTTGAGGTGTATAATAATTTTTAGATGATACAGAAGAGAAATAATGTACTCATTGATGATCAATGCCTCTTTTGATGGTTATCAACTGATGAAAGTTGAAATCGTAAAATCTATAATGCGTTTATGATCTATTAAGATAGAACTGTACAAAACTAAATATTCATGTCTAATACATGCTTTTAAATATTGATAAACAGTTCTTATGCAATTTAAAACAAATGAATTTGCTTTAAACTGTACAGTGAGATCAGGTGATAAGAACTTCGAAATAAACAGGGTATCGACATATTCTTATAATACTTAAACACCTGATAAAAATATGCATATTCACTTAGTCTAACTTCCATTTTTTCTTTATCAAATGAGTGAATCATGCGTAAAACAATGGTTTTTCATTTAATCACATGAAGATTTTTATGGCATTAGATAATATTTCTATTATTTTATATGACATAAAACGTTGAGGTGTGTTTATGTACTAATATTTTATATCACAGACAATAGAATAAGGATACATATATTATTTTAAAAAAAACAATTCACATACAGTAAAAAATCTAAAAACACAGGTTATCAGATTAGGTATATTTTGTCATGCTATTAGTACTTCTAACTGAATGTAAACTACAAAAAATCCTGAAGTCTAAATTGTATTTATAATTTATACACCCAAATGGACAAGAAGAGGTGTATGATATAAAAACGAAATTTCAATCAAATTATAAACATTACGTAAATAATACTATTTAAACTTGGATTAGTTTTAATTTGGTTATTTATTCTCTGAAGAAGTGACTTACACTGAGTCACGAAACGTCAGAAAATCTAATTTTTCTACTCATTGGGATATTACAAATATATTATTTATTTCTTATCTAGAAATTATCAAATCAAATCTTGGTAATGATACTTATTAACATTACAGTACACATATGAAGTGGTTAAATTATTTGATTCGATACTGTTAAACAAATTTTGTGATAATGAACACCATCAATTCGAAGGCTTTAAAATAACTCCGTAACGTAAAAAGGTCACATGGATTTCACCGGATCACACTACACATAACCAAATCTACCATATCTCCATCAATAAAAAGTTCAGAAGGACAATGGAGGACGTGAGAACAAAGGGAGAGGAGTTGATATAGCTTCCGACCATCGCTCGCTGGTCGTCAAGATGAAAGTGAGACTCAAGAAGCACTGGAAAACAGGGCGGACAACATCCCAAACTTTAATACAACCTTTCTTCAAGATTCTAACTCACTCAAAGAATTCAAGAGAGCGCTCAGCAATAGGTTAAAGGCCTTTCACGATCTACTCAATGTAGAAGGAACGACTATGAAGAACTGCAAAGGGATCAAGGAGGCAATCGCTTCAACATATCATGAGGTTCTGGGCCACAAGAAGCACTAACAGAAGGAATGGATCACTGTTGATACATTAGATAAGATTGAAAAAAGGAGGAACAAGTAGGAAGCAATCAATATCAGTCGCACAAGAGCAGAGAAAGAAAAGGCACAAGCTGAATACAATGTAGCACACAAGCAAGTTAAGAGTATCAGAACAAACAAGCGTAGATATGTGGAAGAAGAAAAACGAGACAAATGTATGATACAACAAAGAAACTCACAGGAAATTATAGTAAACCAGAACGACCAATGAACGCAAGGAGAGCAAAGTAATCACAAACACTAAAGAACAGCGAAACCGGTTGGTAAAGCACTTTGAGAAATTTTCAATCAACCTGACATTGAAAAAGCACATACAAACCTTGGTATAGAAGCCACTACATCAACGACCGAAGAAATCAGGATGGCCATTAGTCAAATCAACAGTGGGAAAGCAGCAGGACCTGAAAATATACCAGCTGAAGCACTGGATTCACACACAGAAGTAATTGCAAACATGCGCCACGTTCGATTCAGGAAGATTTTGGAGGAGGAACAAGTGCTGAACGACACCTCATCAAAATATCAAAGAAAGGAGATCTCAACAAATATCAAAACTACCGAGGCATCACACTAATTTCAGTACCAAGAAACGTTTTCAACAGTGTTGCTGAACCAGATGGAAGACTCAGTAGACGACCAACTTCGAGATCAATAGGCCGGATTATTTAAGGATCGGTCGTGCATAGACCAAATTGCGACACTACGGTTCGTCGTTGAACAATCAGTTGAATAGAACTCGTTACTTTACATCGACTCCCTGATTATGAGAAAGCATTTGACGGTGTGAATAGGAGAACATTATAGGATCTTCTTCGACACTATGGTGTACCTGAGAAAATCGTCAACATCATCCGGAATTCATACGACGGGACACAGTGTTAAGTCGTGCCTGGAGGAAAGCTCACAGACTCATCTAGAGTAAAGACCGGTGTCAGGCAAGGTTGCTTACTCTCACCCCTTCTCTCTCTCTCCTGGTCATCGACTGGATCATGAAGACACCAACATCTGGGGGGGAGTAAGCATGAGATACAGTGGACAGCTAGGATGCAGCTGGACGATCTAGACTTCACAGATGATCTGGCTTTTCTATCCCATACACACGAACAAATGCAGATAAAGACAACTAGTGTAGCAGCAGCCTCTGCATCAGTAGGCCTTAACATACACAAAGGAAAAGGCAAGATCCTCAAATACAACACTGAGAACACCAACAAAACCAATTACATTTGATGGCGAAAATCTGAAAAGCATCGTCGATGAATGTTGAGAATCTGATGCAGATGTATAGCGGAGGATAGGCAAATCAAGGGCAGCCTTGCTACAATTTAAGAACATATGGAACTCAAAACAACAATCAACCAATATCAAAGTCACAATCTTTAATAAGAACGTCCTAATGTGCGCGGAAAACTACTACAACCATCATCAAGAAGGTACAAGTATTTATATATAGTCGTCTACACAAGAAACTCAACATCATGTGGTCGGATACCATCAGCAACAGACTTCTGTGACAGAGGACAAACCGACTTTCAATTGAAAAAGAAATTAGGAAAAGTGGTTTGATGTGGATAAGACATACATACATACTTGGAATCCTGAAGTGAAGCGGTAAAGAGGAAGGCCAAAGAATCCATAACGTTGGGAAATAGAAGCAGATATGAATAACAACTGGAAAGGATTGTTCACGACAGGGTTGGATGGGGAGTGCTGGTGGGTGGCCTATGCTCCAACGCGAGGAGTACCAGGCGTAAT